AGAACAATGGCCTCTTATGCCTCATCAATTCTACCAGGTTTACCTATGGACTGACTCAATCTCGATCATCATTTTTTCTTTTTTTCATTGGACCCTTAAGCCTTGATTACCCGGGGCTGACGTTGAATTTTTTTCTAGTTATTAGGAGTCGTGGGTAGTTTTGTTTACAGTCGTCAACATATCTAGGCACACAGTTACACTCGATTATACGTGAATTAACCAAACCTTTCTATATCTATCCATATCCTAAATTTTGTTCCTAATGAGTATATATATCATAAAGAAAAAGCTGTTTAGTCTTCTTGACTTAAAGTTAACTTGAGGTTCTTGTAAGAATGAGTCCCAGCTCTGATGATGCTCATCACATGACGAATGAAAGCTTAGCTTGTCTTTGCCCGAAAAATGGAGGAAATCTCGTGGAAATAATCAATCTAAACGTCGTAGTACTGTCAAACGGCTGCAGTTCAAGGCGAATAAGTCGGCATCTTTTGGTGAGATCGACCTGCGAATCTCTTCATCATGCACTTATATACAAAATGAAAAATTTACCAACTATCTTATCTCCATAGATTCTTAGAAACCCACATGTTCATTGTATACATAAGAAGACAACAATATGTATATTCACAGGGCGCAACGTAAATCCCAAAAATTTCTAATCAAATCTCGATTTTATTTTAGCCTTTCAAGATAGTCTTTTTCAGGGAACTCTAAATGTGAGTGTAAATGAACGAGAAAAAGTGCATAAAACCTAATTTATTATAGCATTGGACAACTTTACCTAATTAAAAAAATAAAGATCTACTTATAATATGGCTTAAATTTAAGCATTAAATTTACTTAGTATCAAACTTTTATTTTATACCAACAATTTTACACCATTTTGGTGTAAATACTAGATCTTTATTCGAAGTTCAGCAAATATCCCGCAATTCGAATCGATAACGTGTTATGGTATTCTAGCCTTTATAAGTTTTATTTATTCTAGTTTGAATTCAATAATGATTTCACTTTTGATGAATCAGTAAGTAATTTTTGTCTGATTAGCACTAGTCACCAAATATCACTGCTAAGCCAATAGAAAATAATGAATTTCAACATACCTCAAACAATAGTTTGCTTTTAGTGGACAAGTTAATCTCCAAGTATAGAGCAAATTTAATTGGCTTAAATGAAGCGTCAAATTCTGATCTAAATTTTGAGGAATATCTACCAGCTGATGAGGCAGGAGGTAATTGTAATATTCTTCCTTTATTTTCTAGATAACATTAAGGAAAAATTTGTTAAATTCAAATCCAAATATCAAGACCAAGAAGTCGACGAGAAGTTTAAATTTATGCAATCAGTATCTGCTTACAAGGATTTGTCATCATTTATGCATTTTTGCCTTGCCAAGCCCATATTGAAGGTACTTTTCTTAGAATTTACTTGTTAAGTCTCTCACTGATATGTCATTAGACAAGCCAACGCCAATCCAATGTGCCTGCATACCGTTATGTCTCTTAAATAAGGATGTTTGCGCATGCGCTAGAACTGGATCTGGAAAGACAGTAGCTTTCTTGTTACCGATCATAGAAAGGCTGATTGCTAAGCCATCACTCGGACGCTCATCTACTAGAGCACTGATTCTTAGTCCTACTCGGGAGTTGGCTGTTCAAATTTTTACAGTTACAGGACAGCTTCTGAAATATTGTCCAAAAATAAAAGTGCAATTAGCTGCAGGTTACTTATTTATATTTTTAATTCTTTTAGGCGGGCTAGATAGAAATTCCCAGGAAACTTCCCTTCGTGGAAATCCAGATATTGTTATAGCTACCCCTGGACGGCTCATTGATCATATCTCAAATGCTCCAAACTTTAGTCTTTCAACTGTTGAATATCTTGTGTTGGACGAGGCAGATAAGTAAGTATATATTACTTGAGCCAATTTATCAGACTTCTTGATGAATATTTCACGGAACAGATTGCTGAGATAATCCGCCACTGCTCCAGACAGAGACAAACAATGCTCTTCTCAGCTACCATGACCGAGAGCGTAAGACTTTTCGTGACGTTAGTGTTGATATCTTATATTATTGTTATATGCACGTGTATATATACTATTGTTATTGTACATACATTATCGTTTAAAATGCAGTGTTGATATATGATTATCAAAGTTATCTTTCCTATAATATTATGTTTTTCATCCGTTCTACTTTTTTATCTTACATTTCTGTAATTTCATTTTTGAAAAGCAAATGGTGTTGGTTTGACCTCGTTTTCGCAACTTGGTCGAAGCATCAAGGAGACATACATAGTCCTGTGTCCTCCGCCATAGTATCCGTGATTTTCAGCCTCCAACCATTGACATGGTGCGTTCCCAAACGTCTCGCCGGCATCAGCGAGAGGCGCCATCGTTAGCAGTGTTACTATTTGCCACTAATAAACTGTAACTCTGCCAAGGATGTCAGCGAAACATTTGGAAATATACCGAGTCAATGGTCCGAAG